TGAAATACATCTTTTTCCTGTAGGTCAAGTATTTTCTTAGTGATTCCTGCGTATTTTTTAATATCAAAGGTAATTTCTTGATTTATACCTTCTATAGTATCTTCAACTTCTTCAGTTGTTTCTATTTCTATTTCTGATTGTTGTATTTCTTGATTCATATATACTATTTTCTCATATTCTTCCTCTGATGAGGATGTATCTAATTCATAAATACTACTGCATTCACTACTTAGATCTTCAAAATATTCAATTGGTTCTATATCACTATCATCTTGGAATTTTTCATAAATTCTAAGAGTTTTTATATTTTGTCTATCTTTCTTTTTAGGACATTGAGGGGCAATGTGTCCTTCTTCATTACAAATAAAACATTTACATTTTTTAATGTATCTTGGTTTTAATTTCTTATTCCAATTTCTTTTCTTAAAATATTTTTTATGTGGTTTAAAATTCCTTTTACTGAAATTTTTTATAATTTTTGAATTTCCTTTTATATTTCTTATATGGTTTATACTTCTTTTTATAGCATCCAAATTGTTCTACCTTGCCATTATCTTTATAACAACATAATGAATTTTTTCTTATTTTATAAGTTTTCTTATTTTCTAGTGCTTCTCTACATCACATACTTATCATTCTTTTTGTAAATTCAATTCTACTTCCAAGACTGTCTATTTCAACTCCTTCCTCTTTTCCTAGAGGCAATAATTTTTCATATTCTTTTAGTAACTTGATTCCCCATGGGAATGGTAACTTTGTAAAGTAAGATCTTAAAATAAGTTTATTTTCTTGATAATCTCCTTGGTTTAATATATAGTATAATTCTTCAAATTTACATGTATATCTTTCTAATTCACACATATCACATATCTTTAGATTTTCCATTGCAATCATCCCTTGATTATATTCTTCTTGTGTTCTTTCTTCTTCATTAGAAGTATGTCTATTTCCTAGAAATTCTATTCTTAAGATTTTCTCAAATCTTTTTAATATTTCCTGTATATTTTGTTCATTTAGGGAATTTCTATTATCTAATACTTCAGTTCTATTTGCTCCATATTTTACACCTCCTTTGATAGTTTCTGGTAACTTTCTCCACCATTCAGAGACAGTTCCTCTAAATGTATGTTCTATAAATCCAAAAGCCGTATATGTTTCCCATTTATTAAATTGTATAGCTAAATCGGTACTTTTCATCCATGTTTCAATAGCTTTATTTTTATCTACACAATCTAAGTCTAACCATACTCCTGTTGTGTGGATTGGTTCATTATAAGATTTCATTGGATTTATTTCTTTTATGAATTGTTTTCTTACATTTTCAGTGTATCTTTTCTTACATCTTCTATATTGATTAATATCAACCTTATCAGGTATCGGGCTACCATAAGGGTAATCTTGTTCTTCATCACTACTAAATTCTACTTTTATATCTTGACTTGAAGATGGATTAGCATTCATCTTTATATTTTCCATTTTTTCAGTTAATTGTTCTAACTGTTTTTTATATTCTTCATACTCTTCACCTGTAGATTTTAAAAATTTTTGTTCTATTTCTTCTACATCTGTAATCATATATTGTTTTTCTTCATGTTTTTTATTTTTTGTCGTTCTAAAATCTTGGGGTGGATTAATTATAATCCTATCTTTTCCTCTAAGATTATTATCTAATAATGCATTTCCTACTTGTAGATTATATTCTAGATTTTCTAATCTTTTATGTGTATCCTAAAAACTTTCATTTGTTGTATTTTTAGGTAAATAGGGATAACTAGGTTTTTTATGTTTTTTAACTTTTTCCAAAAATTCTTCAATTATATTTTCTTTATCTACTATATTCATCATAATTTTTGGTTCGTAACATGGCTCTGATACCATTTCGTCGGAGTGTGCAGCGGAGGGTTTAATATTTTTGAGCCAATTAAATTCTTCATAAGTATTTAAAATATCACAATAGAATTTATAAAATTCACTATTTTTTACCAATATTTTTTCTTTAATAATTATATTTAATTCTTTAATTCTCCTTCTTAAATTAAGAATTAATTTATATATATCTTTTTCCATTTTGATTGCTTCATCATCTATGGAATTATTTTTATTTTTTAGTTTTGGGTCTAAATATTGTATAAAGAAGTCTTTCAGATCTTCTTCCAAATAGTTTAATTCATTTTCTGTAACATTTTTTAGGTCAATAAAATTTTGTATAATATTTGGATCTAAATTTATTAATGAATTTTGATCTATATTTCTTTGGGGACTTATTTGAGGATTTTTATACATTGTAATGGCTTTAATTGCAATTTCTCTATAAGGGGTATTTTAGGAAATATAATTTTTTAAAGGTTATTTTGGAAATGTTTTTATTTCTTAGTCTAATTTGGAAAATCCTCCTTTTATTTAGACTATTTTGATGTATTTCCCCTACATATTGGCCCTATGCTTTTCAAACAACTGTGTACCTCATCAATAGACTCCCATCCCTAGCCCTAAAATATAGTTCACCTTATGAACGTTTGTTTGGGACATCACCAAATTATCTCAAATTACGAACATTTGGTTGCTTATGTTTTCCTTGGCTTAAACCCTATACTGGTCATAAGCTAGACTCCAAACCTCGTGCCTGTATTTTTCTTGGATACTCTACCTCTCAGAGTGCATATAAGTGTTTAGATTTAGCAACAACTCGACTTTATCTTTCCCGCCATGTACAATTCAACGAAAATGAATTCCCCTCTCTCTGCTTAAAGCCACCTTCTAAGCCTATCCACACGAGTCCACCCACTGTGGTCTCGCCCCACCTATCTATTATTCCAATAAATATGCCCAACCTATCATCTAATCCTGTTGTTGAGTCCTCCCCAAACCCAACTCGTTCATATCACTCTCAGCAGCAGCCCTTGGATCTGAGTCCTTCGCAGACTACATTAGCCACTTCTTTGGATAGTAACCCAAGTGCTACATCTGGCCCATCAGAACCTGCTTCACCAGTCCGTACTCATGGCATGATTACACGAGCCATGAATAATATCTATCGATCCAAGCAGATATACCAAGTGTCTAAACATTCACTGCCACCTACTCTTGAGCCCACTTGTGTATCACAGGCCATGAAGGATCCTCTTTGGCGCCAGGCTATGAGTGAGGAATTCACTTCCCTATTGAAACATGGAACTTGGACCCTTGTCGAGAAACTTCCTCATCATAATCCCATTGGTTGCAAATGGGTGTATCGCATCAAGCAGAAACCAGATGGCAATATTGATCGTTATAAGGCCAGATTAGTGGCTAAAGAATTCCACCAACGACCCGGCTTGGATTATAAAGAAACTTTTTCTCCTGTAGTCAAACCAGCTACAATTCGCGCGATACTTACTCTTGCCGTGTCTAGGGGTTGGCCTCTTCGTCAACTAGATGTCAACAATGCATTTCTCTATGGCACTTTGACTGAGGAAGTTTACATGGTACAACCAACTGGTTTTGTTGACCCCAATGCACTCATCATATATGCAAGCTTCATTGCTCTCTCTATGGACTCAAACAAGCCTCGTAGGCCTAGTATTATGCATTAAGTGATTGTCTCACAAAAATGGAATTTTCTCAATCTAAAGCCGACTCCTCCTTATTTATATATCATATGGATGATCTAACTGCATATTTTCTCATTTATGTGGATGATCTCATTCTCACAGAAAATTCCAGCAGGTTGTCACTTCTTTGGGCAAGGCCTTCTCTCTCAAAGATCTTGGCCCATTAAGTTTATTTTTGGGTGTTGAAGTTATCCCCACCACAGACGGTATATTTTTATCTCAGCATAAGTATATTAGGGAATTACTCTCTAAAACAGGGCTTGACAATGCGAAAGAGATTTTGACCCCAATGTCTACCTCTGATGTTCTCCGCCTGGATGATGGCACAACCTCTGTTGATTGCACGGAGTATCGTCGAATTATTGGTTCACGTCAATATCTATCTCCTACGAGACCTGACATTGCTTTCTTGATTTCTCGCCTTGCTCAGTTTATGCATAGACCAACGGTGACACATTGGACAGCAGCTAAACGGATATTGCGATACCTCAAAGCGACTCTTTATCATGGTCTACGGCTTCGCAAAACTAAAGGTCTTCATCTCACTGCATACTCCGATGCTGATTGGGCAGGCAATATGGATAACTGAACTTCCACTTCAGCCTACATTATTTATCTTGGCAACAATCCTATATCCTGGAGCACACGAAAACAGCGCGCTATTGCGCACTCATCCACCGAAGCTAAATATCGTGCTCTTGCGACTACTGCTTCTGAAATAGCATGGCTCACTTCCCTCTTTCAAGAACTATAGGTGACTCTTCCTGCTGTACCAAAATTATACTGTGACAATATTGGTGCCACTCAGCTCAGCTTAAATCCTATTCAACATTCCAGCATGAAGCATATTGCCATCGATATTCATTTTGTTCGGGACTATGTTAACAAAGGCCTGCTCAATGTATCTCATATATCTACCCGTGATCAACTTGCGGATCTCATGACGAAGGCTCTATCAAAGACTCGCTTTCAAGAGCTTCGCACCAAGATCGGTGTTGCCGATGGAAGCACCGTCTTGTGGGGGCGTGAAAATGATCCTTGATTTTAGCCCTATAATCTTGGTCACACTACCAATCTACAGGAGCAAATCATGGACTGTTAATCTCAGCTCTAAAATCATGGATAATCAACCAGTCTACAACCACAAATCATGGACACGGTTGCTGTAAAGTTGCTGCTATTCCTTGTATATTGATTCACTATTAATAGGCTTCCTAGTATAGCTTTTTTGGTTTATGTATATATATAACTTGCTGCCCTCATTGCAATTTGTGTACAAAAGCCAAACAATTGTAATACACATAGTATTTTTCTTACAGCAGAACATCTGTCCTTCTTTATCATTTGTTCTTCTTTAAAATTCGAGATACAGCATACAAAATTGAAGATATCATGGAATCCCATATATCAATGAATTTTGTTCAGGAAAGTTTTCATGAAAGAAAAATCAAACACCAAACTTTTTGTGAAAACTTCGTGATAGTAGCAGATGAAATTGATTCCATTAAGACAAAGGCGGCTAAGCTCAAGGAATTTTGGGGCACAACAGATCTGCACCAAAGCCAGAGGACTTCTTTTCCTACTGGACAATCAAGACTTCCTTCAATCGGCAAGAATGATATGGTCGGGTTTCATAATGATTTGAATCAAATAATCGATCGACTCACTGGAAATCAAGGTGCACTCCAACTCATCCCCGTTACTGGCATGGGAGGTATTGGCAAGACCACACTTGGTAAAAATGTTTACAATGATCCTCGTATTAAAGACCATTTTCACACTCGTGCCTGGGTATCAATTTCTCAAGAATATCGTGAGCGAGAAGTCTTGCTGAACCTTCTGGATTCCATGGAACAGCTCAGTGCTGAAATGTGTCAAGAGAACAGTACTGCAAAATTAAAAGATTATCTACATAAAAGTTTAATAGGTATGACGTATCTTGTTGTGTTGGATGATATTTGGACTACCGAGGCTCGGGGTTCTTTGAGAAGGATATTTCCAGACGAACGGAATGGAAGCAGGATCATGTTGACAACACGGCTGTTGTGTGTGGTTGACTCCCGTCATTCTCCCCATCGTATGCAATTTCTAAATGAGACTGACAGTTGGAATCTACTTTGTCAGAAGGTGTTTGGTGAAGATTTTTGCCCTCTTGAACTGGAGGAAGTTGGAAAGGAGATTTCAAATAATTGCAAAGGACTTCCACTTTCCCTTGTCGTGATTGGCAACCACCTTTCCAAAGTCAACCGGACAAAAGATCACTGGGAGTACGTTGCAGAAAATGTCAAGTCAGTTGTAAATGCAGCGGATGAAAATTGCTCTGAAATACTTTCCTTAAGTTACGATTACTTGCCTCATTATTTCAAAGCACGTTTTCTCTATATGGGAGTTCTTCCAGAGGATGATGAAATTCGTGTCTCCAAACTCATCAAGTTATGGGCTGCAGAGGGATTTCTAAAACCAGTCAGAGGTAAAACCTTGGAAGAAGTGGCAGAGGAATTTTTGGGAGATCTAATTTCCAGAAATCTTATTTTGATTAGTAAGAAGAGTTCTAGTGGAAAGATAAAAACATGTAGCATCCATGATATGTTAAGGGACCTATGCGTAAGAAAAGCCCAGGAGGATAAGTTTTTTCATGTCACCGTCACAAATAAAGATTTCAAAATCTATGCTGAAGGCATAAAATATTCACGTCGCCTATGTATTCATCCAGATATTTTTCAAAAGGAATTGTCAAACAGTGACAATTCAAATGTCAATACATCCGTGGGATCCTTGCCACCAATCCGTTCTACTTTGTGTTCCCATTTGGCTGGCGAGATTTATGAATCAGGCAACAGAAATCTTTTTCCACTGCTCAGGGTGTTGGATCTTGGTAAAGGAAAAGTAGATGGTTTCCCGATCAAAAACAAAATTAGTTCACGCAAGGTACCTTTCTTTCTCCGGGTATGGGAAAATTTCCATACCTAAAATATTACCTGATTATCTTTGGTATCTACAGACCTTAATAGTAGATTGTGAAGATGTACATCTACCAGAGGAAATATGGAGGATGCCACAATTAAGGCATCTCCTGTTTGGGATGTGTTATTTGCCGTGCCCTGCTAGATCACCAATAGATGGAGATAATTTAATTCTAGAAAACCTTTTAACATTGTCGAAAGTGAGTAGTGTCAGCTGTACCAAGGAGGTCTTTGAAAGAGTTCCAAATCTTAAAAAGTTGGGAATTTTTAGTGAACAATGGATTACATCACCCCTTTCTCTAGGTACTCTGGTTAATCTTCCTCAACTTGAGAACTTGAGAATCAGAAATGTATTTAGTACCCTGATGAATTTCACTTTCCCACCAAATATCAAAAAGTTAACGTTAGATGGTTGCAGAATTCCTTGGAAACATATGACTATTGTTGGTTCAATGCCCAACCTGGAAGTGCTCAAACTGCGATATCATGCCTTTTATGGGCCAGAATGGGAGCCAGGAGAAGGAGAATTTTGCAAACTAAAGTTTCTTCTACTTCATTCCATGCGTCTAAAGCAATGGAGAGCTGATAAGACTCACTTCCCAAGCCTTGTGCGCCTAATTCTTAGAGCATGTCTAGAACTAGAGGAAATCCGTTGTAGTATTGGAGATATATCAACGCTTCAAATCATTGACTTGGACGACGCTAGCCCTTCGGCTGTGACTTCGGCAAAGAAAATACAAGAAGAACAAAGGAACTTGGGAAATGATAGCCTTCAAGTTCGTTTCAGTAACTTTTTCCACTTCATGTTTCTAAAGGTAAAAACGATTCCTTGACCCATACTTACTGCTGATAATATCTGATCATTTCTATATCACAAGAAAATTTACCGGTCTTTGTGATTAAATTTTAACAAGCATGAAGAATTATTATTATTTTTATATAATTTTTTTTAATGAACCACTCTAGATTGCATGTTTTACTAATAATGAAAATAAACATAAAATTTAGAAGGGTGACAGGTACAAAAAAAATAAACTTCTCTCGTCTGAATATAGACAATATAATATAAAAGCTAAAGAACTATATTTCATGTAGTGTCTCTCCTGCTCATGGTTATTTTCACTCTCTACTTGAAGGGGATTTTGTAAATTTTATCATACCAAAGTTTGAAAAGTCCATATCTTTCTCTCACTCTCCATAAATATATCCAGAAGCTTCCCTAGCATACTTCCTCGCCCTTGGATAGAAAGGCGATTCCTCCGCTCTGATCCTCTGACCTGATAACTCAGCAACTGCCGCCTTCAGCGAGCATGACTTGCCCTGCAGCTTGTCTCTGATAATTTCACCACATTTACTTTAGCTACGGAAGTGCAAAAAGAAGACACAAATCTTCTCTTGGAAACCAAATTAGAAAGAAAAAGTAGGATTTATTGCACAACAAAAGTTGTTCTTGCAAGTAAATATGTGGGGAAAATTTAATTGTACAGAAACTGTTATATAAACTTCATTATTAATTTCTTACAATTGCAACAGAGAAAGGAAGCAGAGGCTGAAATATGTGGGTCAACTGACGATACACTGCTACTCAAGGCCACAAAACAGTTTCACACAAATCTTTATCGTGGTATCAATTAGTTTACCTTTATTGAAGCTAATTATTTTGATATTAATCTTGTTACTGTTTATGCTATTTTCTCTTATATCTCTGATTCCATTTGCTTTCAATGATCTTGTTTCCACAGACCCAGTTGAGGAAGTAGCATCTGCAGTCGTTCCTCGACTCTTTGAGTTTCTTAAAAGAGATGATTACCCGCAGCTTCAGGTTTAAATTTGTGCCATTAATTGCTTCTTCTTGTTTATTTCATGCATTTCAACTACTAAATACATTGAGTTATTCATTTTTCTAGTGTGAGGCAGCATTGGCTATAACAGGTATTTCAAATTCTTCATCTGATATGATCAACACGCTGATTGATCATGGCTCAGTTCCCATTATGGTGAGCCTTCTTAGTTCTCCCAAGGACGTTCTTCGTGGACAGGTACGTTTTGTACTGTGATTTTATTGTAAGTATATGATGTCAATTAAACAATTAGTAAAATAAATCTAAGAGTCGGGATCATTGTTCCCACGATAACCATTTGATTAAAATAAAGAAACATTACTCAAATAGATAATTTAGGATTTTATTTGATGTATGAAATTAGAATTCACTAGTGCACCATAATTATGCCAATAATCTCAATCACCAAATTGCAGCAATAATTAATTATGCATACCCAGTCAATCATTCTATATTAATTGATTTATGCCTCTCAAGTTCAAACAAATCCTACTCAATTAAGTCAACTCATTATGTATCTATGTGAATCATGATAAGCCTTGATCAAAAGCATTCAATCATCAAAGAATTTAATTAATGATCTCAAAACTAGTAAAAGTGCATCTCTCCTTCTACCCAAATTCCAATTTTTACTATATGAACTAAACACCTCTCCATTTGTTAATGTTCACAAATTATTGAATTAGTGATAAAGTAATATAAAGTCATGAAGAAAAGAAATAAAAATAATACACAAATATCAATTAAAAACAAAAGAAAAAATAAAACTCGATTACATTATTTATTCCAACTATTGATTTAGTTGCGCATCATGGAAGGAGAAAAATATAAAAAAGAATTGGAGTACATAATTGGCTTATGAAATGGAAAAAAAAAAATAAAAAATTAAATAAAATAAAAACTAAAAATTGAAGATCTTGCACCTAGAATCGTCCTTTTCCATGCCAAATCTTAAAAACCATATATTTTTCCATTAATTTTTCTCTCTATATTTTTTGCTTCTGGAACTATCTTCCCCTTTAATTTGACATATACGATGTCCTAATATAATGATAATGGTACCTTGGGAATTGTGCTTCTAAAAGAAGCCGAAATGGATCAAGAAAAGTAAAAAATAGCAAAAAGTACATTGCGTCGAACCGACTAGACCATGACAAACAGAGAATCAATGCCAATTAATCCCTTTTTGGGCCTCAAATTGATGCAATTTTTTATTTTTATTTTTATTTTTTACGCGTAGGCGTTTATTTTTTTTTACTTTTCAACATTACACTGCAAAGTCTCTGAACATTTCATTTGTTGATTACGATCCTCCAACTTTTCATCTCATCAATTTTGGTCATTTCGCTTTTCATCATGCCCATGTTAGTCCTTCAAACTTTCATATTGTTGCTCTTTGATCCCTATTCAAGATACTTGTCTAGTTTGATCCTTTTTGCTCCAGTTCTTCTATATTTGATCCTAAAACTTTCAAAAGCTTTCACGTTTGTCCCCATACCTTAATAATCTTCCAGAATTAGTCATCAAGTTTCGAAAATGTGAAATTAGTCCTCAAACTTCCAATAAATTGAATTTCGCTCCTAAAAGTTGGGACTTTCCACTGATTGCTTTCTTGATACTTATCGATCCCGTGCAATCAATTAGCCTTCAATTTCTCCGAATCAACTTCAAATAAGCTCAAAACCATTTTCTCCCCCACCCCAGATGCCTCATAGTCTAAGTTAGGCCTAGGAAAAAAATCGAAAACCTACCAAATCAACCAAACCGAACTGACTCGGGTCGGTTTTGACACGGATAATTGATTTGGTTTGGTTTACTTTCAAACAAAATCATGGTAGGTCGGTTCAGTCATGGTTTGAAACCTCAAACCATTGGTTAACCAAACAAATCCAACCCACTTCCATACTTATCTTTTGTTTTTTTAAGAAAAATGAAAATAAAAAAATAAGTCCTAACTCATAACTTTATCTTGATTTCCTTCAATCTATGATGTTGCTGATAAGTAATGGCACTGAAAATTTTCTTTCACAAGCTCATTATGTTATACTTAGCTTTTTTTTTTCCTACTCGGATAGTCAAGCTACATAATGCATAAAAAAATAACAAAATTCTTAAGTTTTTAGTTGATTTGTCTCTATTAATTTGATTTTATTTGTTAGTCAATAGTTCTTATAATATAAAAAGTTTCTTAATTATTTTAGTTCTTGTAATCTAAGTGGGCCCAAACTTTGACAATTTTTTTGAAAAAATATTCAATTTGGACTAAAAGTCCAAATCGACTAACCAAACCGAACAAAACCAAACGATTTGGTTCGGTTCGGTTTAAGAGCTAGACTGGGTCGGTTTGGGTTGAAATTCACCAAACCAGCTAATTAGGTTTTGGTTTTGGGTTGGGGTCGAAACTAACCCTAACCAAGCCACACCCATGCCTAGTCTGAGTTTACCTATAAATATAGTTAACGTTTTTACATTAAATTATGTAGCAATTCACTCAAATTACAAATATTTATCAAGTTTAATAGCACATATAAGCATGTAAAAATATACTTATCAAATATCTTCAAAATTAAACCATTGTACATCCCAAGCAAGATTATCTACCAAACACATGAGCAAACAACAATAAAAATCAATTGTTAGATAGCTAAATTTTAAATTGCTCAAATAATTCATAACAGGCTTCTAAGTCATGCTACCAAAATAAATTTTTACTTATTCAATGCTTGATTGATGTGTGTACTTGTGCATAGTCATTCAATCACCATAAAACTTTAGGTTGGTCATAACTCAACCCTCAGTGGTCAGTTTTTTCCTTTCTCTCTTCTGAGATGCACATCCCAACTTATATTCAATCTCTTACTCAAGGTGTTGTTTTCTAAGATTTCTTTCACAATGCACTCATTTCTTTTCCATTCAAATTTGGTTCGGCTTACCCAATGGAAGTAACTATCTCGATATGTGATTATTCTTCCTAGATTTGAGTGCCACAAAACTTTAGGCTCCAACTAGGAAAAATCAACCTCACTTAGGGATGGCAATTTGACTCACCGGCTCGGGTCGAAAAAAGTCCGAGCTCTATTAGGGGGTGACGGGTCGAGATCGAGCCAGCCCATGTGGCTCGTCGGGCCGGCCCATAAAATTTAATATATATATATATATATATATATATATATATATATATTAAGGCAACAGGCATGCTGCCTTAAATGAGGGAGCAGGTTGTTGCTTAAGGTAGCAGCTTGCTGCTTGAAAGCCCGAGCCGAAAACTAGGGTCGAGCCTCGATTTTTTGGCTGAGCCTCAGGTTTCGGCTCTCGGCTCGTTATCATCCCTAACTTCACTAGACATCTTGACACCCCTAATCAATATCCAAGACTTAGTCAAGAGCACAATGCTTTTCGATATTGTCACTACATGCATCTTTTTTATGTATAAAAGGAAAAACATTTCTTCTTCTTTCATTTTTTTTTTCTCGCATAATTCTTACTTGTATGTAGCTATTTCCCAAAGATATTAATAACATCACTATCAGGCCGGATTTTCTTATTGTTTCTTCTCTCCAATTCTTGATTTTTTATTTTACTGATTCAGGCCGCTTCTCCTAACTTTACATCTTTCTTGCGGAACTAATGCAATATCTTTTGTGGGGAGTGGTGATCATACCCTTTAGCTTATGGTTAATATATAAGTTCCACCTGTTAGGTAAAAGAATATTCAACAGGTAGGAAATCAACACCTTTCTAAATAGCTCCTAAAACTAATTCAACCACCCCAAGCTATCATTTCATATGATCTATTAGTCGTGTTTTCAATTTTTATCTTGGTTTGTTATAATTCATAAATCAATGAAATAGCAGCTATTTATTTGAAAGAATAAAAGAAGATTTGTGAACTTCTTTCCCATTCTAGTCATTGATTAGTGGAATTACGGCTATCTAGATTTTCGGACCAACAAAAATTTGGGTGGTGCTCTTATGTTGTATGTGTTTTTGCGATTATGGATTGTATTTTGGGCATTGATAATTCGAGCTTATTTGGACTCGTGATATTTAATCCACCAAAAACATGTTGTCTTCATCATTTTCTGTATGTGGATCGTCTTGGAGAAATTTCTTAAATTCATCTTAAGTGTCCAATAACATGCAATTCTCAATATAGTGCATAGCCCTACATTTTCATAGGTCAAACTCATTTGGTCTACATTCACACCCTGTACTTGGAGGCTCAGTAGAGGTGATCTCATAATTCTCCTAATTGCAAGTCATGCTTGCTCATGACTAGTGGGAGAAACAATCACTCTTGCGAGTTACGTTCATCAAGTTCGGCAAGTACAACATATCATATGTTAAATCGTCGCATGATGAAGACATATGCACATCATCATCATCAATATTGGGATCTCTCATTCTTTATTGCTGCTAGTTTTTACCTTCTTTTTGTTCATTGCCCGAAATAAAATCAAGAAAAACAAGTAAATTAGATTTTGGAAAAAAACAAATTTAGAAATAGCTTAAACTAATATTAAACAAAAATAGTCCATGGTCACATTACCAAAAGCTTGTTGTGATGTATCGCAATTGTACGTTTTCAACTAAAAAAATATTAAAGTGGACATAAGAGTCCGAATTATCGTTCTTACGAGGACTATTATTTAATAATTGGTTCAACTATATCTAACTTCTATTACAATAAAAATTATTAAAAGATTTTGTTCTTATCCTAAATATTATAAATCTATAAAATTAATGAAAAGTGCTTAAATAGACAATATCTACTTAATGTAAAAAAGTATTAAGATTCATATTTCAATGTAGCTGTCCCCGTAATATTAGTCACCAAATTTCGACCATAATTAATTATGTGCACTATCAAATTCTTCTAAATTAATTGATTTATATCTCTGAAGTTTAAACGAATCTTACTCAAGTAAGTCAACATGCTGTATCTCTATGTAAATAAGGTTAAATATTAATCAAGAGCATTCAATCATCAAAGATCGCAAAATTAGTAAAGGTGTATCTCTACATTCTAGCCAAATTTTGATTTTTTACTGAATGTTCTAAAAAATAAATCACCTCTCAACTTGATATTGCTTACAAGTCATGGAATTAGTGATCAAATAATTCAAGATCATCAATCACAAACATAAACTGAAAATGAACATTAGAACATATGATAATTAAAATTAACGTACAAATTTATGTTACATCGTTTATCCCAATTATGAATGGAAGAAAAAAAAATTCAGGGAGGAATTGAAAAACATCACCAGAATGAAAAAAGAGTCAAAGATCTTGCACCAAGAATTGCTTTCTCCCACGCTGAATCTCGAAATCTTTTTTTTTTGGTCCTTGATTTTTCTCAAAAGTCTTGACTTTGGGAACCCTTCTTCCCCCTTAATTTCATCTAAATGATGTCCTTGTATAGTTGAAAAGAGTGCCTTGACTGACAATTATGCCTTAGAAATGAGTAAAAATGGATAAATAAATAAATAAAAAAAAAAGTTAAACAAAATATATATATGAAACATAAAAATTTCGCCCAATCGAACTGACCGTGGTTTGCTGCAAATATAGAATTAATGTCAATTATTCCCCCTTTTGGGCCTCGAAGTTACAATTCAACCTTTTTCTATGGCGAGCTTTTATTTTAATTTTACTTTTCAACGTTAAATTGCACACCAAGTTTATAAACTTCTTGCTTTGCAAATTTTGATCCTCCAACAATTTTTCTCATCAATTTTGGTCCTTTCACTATTCAACGTGTCCAAATTATTCCCTCAATTTCGTATTTTTGCACTTTGATCTATATTTAAACATTTTCTTCCGATTTTGGTCATTTGGCTCATATTTTTCAATATTTGATCTCATAACTTGTAAAAGCTTCCACGTTAGTCCTCAAACCTCAACAATCTTTCTAAGTAGTCTTTCTCAAGTTTTGAAAGTGTCAGAATTAGTCTCCATACTTTCTTTAAGTTGAATTTCACTTCTGAAGCTTGCAAATTTCTTTGGATTGCTCTCTTTGGATTGTTAGCCATCAGTTGGTTTTAATCAACTCAATATTAGCTCAAACCTTCATTTTTCTCCAAATACTCTTTAATTCAAGTTTTACCTACAATTGTCATATTTACACTAAATTATGTAGGAATTCACTCAAATATAAATTATTTATCAAGTTTAAACTGCACCGATAAGTGTAGAGAAACACACTTACCATGTTGTAAATTTGAAGGATTACAATCAAATAAAAAATCATAAAAACATACCCGCACGAAGAAAGAATAAAGACTAATATGTTGGAGTGATGTTATATGTCACCGCTAAATGATCATCAACAAGTCTGAGTAACAGTAATTAAATAGGTTTCATCTCACTACATTTAATTCATATAATGACACCTATATTATGATGTAGGCCAGCGATGAACACTACTACTCAACACATAGGATTATTCAATATGTTGACAAAATGTCAACAGAGCTCGTAGTTACACAAAGGAGAAATGCCCACTGGAAAACTCCACTCATAATCTCTCAATCTCTATCCGTATTGAAGCAATTACACATTAGCTCAAGAAAAATACATGAAACAAAAGAAAAAGCTCTCTGAATCTGGAGTGGAGAAACCCAGAGGACTGCAAATTTATTTTAATTGATTAAAAACCTAATCTCCCCAACTAGAGATGAAATAGTGACGGCCAACATCCATGTGTCTAGCTGCAGATCTGGGATGAAAAACAATGTCTTTAAACTAGTGCCAAAATTGACATTTTTCCATGGTTACTTCTACGTTTTCTGCAGCTGAGTAGAGGCAACACCTTTTAATAGTAAATGACATAAAAGCATAGTGCTCTCTATGTTAGGAAATTGTTCGTCCAACTTCTTACAAATTGATAAAGACTAATACGATTTGAATTTTATTTCGTGGCTGCTTTTGACTGTACGTCTAACTATTTTGTGTAGGCACTTCACGTTTTAGGAAAATTTGCCGTTGACTCAACAAAATCTCGTGATATTGTCCTTAGTTATGGAGTGTTAATGCCCTTACTGGCACAATTTAATGACGAAACAAAACTTTACATCACGAGAAAGGCGATGTGGACATTTTCATTGCTTTGTGCTGGAAAGCCAAAGCCTCAGTTTGAGCAGGTTTATCTTCTAATTGCTTTTCTGTTCAGTTTTGATGCATATCAATACTGCTGACCTTTATATATTTAACCAATTCTTTCCGGATATTGCTGAGCAGATGAAACCTGCCATCCTTCCTCTTGCTCATCTGATTCATACAGAAGATGATGAAGTCCTTCAACATGCATGCTGGGCACTAGCCAATCTATCTCTTGGGGAAATG